TACCACCCTTACCTGGGTCCCTGCAGGTGACTCCTCTGTCCAGATTCCTAGGCCTTTTAATCCCCTTTCTCCTGCTCTCTTGCCCTGCTGCTTTGGGCATGCCTGATTCCTCTCTTCACCTGGATCCCTGCAATGCAGTTAGATGGGCTAATTACTTATGGAGAAAATTCACAAAAGGACTACAGGGATGTTTTGAAAATATGTTCAAAGTCAATAATAAGCAAAGTAACATGAGATCCAATTTAAATGATATACCTATTACTTATTCACCACTGCTCATCTCTCACTTTGTCATACTGTGGTGGCTTGCATGTTTCTATAGGGCTGGAGGCTATGTCATCAGTATTTCCAGTACTAGCAGGATATCCCATGGTGGAAAGGTTTCAGTGGAGCTTCCAGACTAAGACAGGGAAGAAGAATGGGGCCATCCACTTCTCAAAGAATTGGCCAGTGAAAACCTTATGAATAGCAGTGAAACACTGTCTGATACATTTCTGGAAAACTTTATTAATAGCTCTGAAACATTGTTTGATATGGTGCCAGAAGATGAACCCTCAGGAAACGCAAAGCAACACAACACACTGCCGTGGAGTTGGATCTGACTTATAGTGACCGCTCCTTGGGTTTCTGAGGTAGTATAACTACGGAAGCAATTGCCCAACCTGCCTTCTGAGGAGTGGCTGGTGGGTTTGAACCTACAGCCTTCTGATTAACAGTCAAATGCCTTAACACTGTGCCACAGGGCACTTGAAATACGCCTAGGGATGAGCTACCTCTTCAGAGTAGAGCTGACTTTAGTGATGTAGATGGAGTAAAGCTTTTGGGACCTACATTTGCTGATGTTGCATGACTCAAAATGAGAAGAAATAGCTGCAAACATCCATTAATAATTGGAACATGTAATGTACAAAGTATGAATCTAGGAAAATTGAAAGTTGTCAAAAATGAAACGGAATGCATAAAAATCAACATCATATCTATTAGTGAGCTGAAATGGACAGGTTTTGTCCATTTTGAATCAGACAACTATATGATCTACTATGCCTGGAATGACAAATTAAAGAGGAATGGCATGGCATTCACTGTCACAAAGAATGTTTTAAGATATATTGTGAAGTATAGGGCTGTCAGTGATAGGATAATGTCCATATGGCCACAAGAAAGAGCAGTTAATACTATCATTATTCACATTTATACACCAACCACCAGAGCCAAAGATGAGGAAATTGAAGATTTTTACCAACTTCTGCAGTCTGAAATTGACCAAACATGCAATCAATATGTGTTGATTATTACTGGTGATTGGAATGCAAAAGTTGGAAACAAAGAGGAATCTCCAGTAGTTGGAAGATAGGGCCTTTGTGATAGAAATAACACTGGAGATCACATGATAGAATTTTGTAAGTCCAATGGCATATTATTTGCAAATACCTTTCTTCAACAACACAAACAGTGGCTATACACAAGGACTTTGCCAGAAGGAATACACAGGAATCAGATAGACTACATCTGTGGAAAGATGTTATGGAGAAACTCAGTATCTTGTGCCAAAGGATCTGCCTGTGGAACAGACCATCAACTGCTCATATGCAAGTTCAAGGTGCAGCTGAAAATAATTAAAACAAGTCCCTACAAAAGCCAAAATATGACCTTGATTATATCCCTCCTGAATTTAGAGACCATCTAAAGAACAGATTTGATGCGTTGAACACCAGTGATCAAAAACTGGAGGATTGTGGGATATTATCAAGAACATCATCCATGAAGAAAGCAAAAGGTCATTAAAAAGACAGGAAAGGAGGAAAAAAACAAAATGGATGTCAGAAGAGACTCTGAAACTTGTCCAGGTATGGAGAGTTGCTAAAGCAAATGGGAAAAATGACAAGATAAAAGAGCTGAACAGAAGATTTCAAAGAGCAACTCGAGAAGACGAAATCAATTATTATGATGAAATTTGCAAAGCCCTGGATTTAGAAAACCAAAAGGGAAGAACACGCTTGGTATTTCTCAAGCTGAAAGAACTAAAGAAAAAATTCAAGCCTTGAGTTGCAATATTGAAAGATTCTATGGGCAAAATGTTGAATGATGCAGGAAACATCAAGAGAAGATGGAAAGAATACACAGTCACCGTACCAAAAGAATTGATCAATGTTCATCTGTTTCAGGAGATGGCATATGATCAAGAACCAGTAGTATTGAAGGAAGAAATTGAAGCTGCACTGAAGGAATTGTCAAAGAACAAGGCTCCAGGAATTGACAAAATTCCCATTGAGATGTTTCAACATAAATGATGCCATGCTGGAGGCACTCACTCATCTATGCCAAGAAATTTGGAAGACAGCTACCTGGCCAGCAGATTAGAAGAGATCCATATTTGTACCTGTTCTAAAGAAAGGTGATCCCACACAATGTGGAAAGTTTCAAATATTATTAATGTAACACTCAAGTAAAATCTTGCTGAAGATAATTCAAAAATGGTTGCAGCAGTATATTGACAGAAAACTTCCAGAGATGCAAGCTGGATTCAGAAGAGGACATGGAATGAAGGATAACATTGCTGATGTCCGATAGATCTTGGCTGAAAGCGAAGAATACTGGAAAGATGTTTACTTGTGTATTATTAACTATGCAAAAGTATTTGATTATGTGGATCATAACAAGTTATGGACAACATTGAGAAGAATGTGAATTCCAGAACACTTAATTGTGCTCATGAGGAATCTGTACACAGACAAGAAGGCTGTCTTTTGAACAGAACAAAGAAATACTGCATGGTTTAAAATCAGGAAGGAAATCCATCAGTGTTGTATCCTTTCACCATACTTATGCAGTCTGTATGCTGAGCAAATAATCTGAGAAGCTGGACTGTATGAAGAAGAGTGTGGCATCAGGTTTGGAAGAAGACTCATTAACAACCTGTGATATGTGGATGACACATCTTTGCTTGCTGAAACTGAAGATGACTTGAAGCACTTGCTAATGAATGAAGATTAAAGACTACAGTTTGCAGTATGGATTACACCTCCACATTAAGAAAACAAAAGTCCTCACACTGGATCAATAAAGCAGCATCATGGTAAATAGAGAAAAAAATTGAAGTGTCAATGATTTCATATTACTTGGTTCCACAATTAACACCAATGGAGGCAGCAGTCAAGACATCAGATAATATATTGCACTGGGCAAATCTGCTGCAAAAGACTTCTTTAAAGTGCTGAAGAGCAAAGATGTCTTCTTGAAGACTAAGGTGTGCCTAACCCAAGCCATGATCTTATCAACCTCCTCATATGCATGTGAAAGCTGGACAATGAATAAGGAAGACCGAAGAAGAGTTTTTTTGAGTGTGGTGTTGGCAAAGAATACTGAAAGTACCATGGACTGCCAAAAGAACTAACATATCTGTCCTGTGAGAAGAACAGCTAGAATGCTTCTTGGAAGCAAGAATGGCCAGACTTCTTTTGACCTACTTCTTTCTTGTCAGAAGGGACTATTCCCTAGAGAAGGACATCATTTTGGTAAAGTGGAGGGTCAATGAAAAAGGGGAAGACCTTCAACGAGATGAATTGACATGGTGGCTGCAACAATGGGCTCAGGTATAGCCAGGATTGTGCATCTGGCACAGGATTGGGCAGTATTTTGTTCTGTCATACATAGGGTCGCTATAAGTCAGAGCTGAACTGTAGGGCACCTCACAAAAACAACATTACTTATTCATAAGGAGCTCTGGTGGCATAGTGGATAAGGCATTTATTTGGCTGCTAACTGTGTCAGTGGTTCAAACCCACCAGCCGCTCTGCAGAAGGAATATGGGGCAATCTACTTCCAAAAAGATTTATAGCCTTGGAAACCCAATGGCGGTCACTATGAGTCAGAAATGACTTCATGGCAGTGAGTTTGTTTTTTAGAGTTTATTACCTATTCATAATACACTTACAAATTGATAATATTCATTAGCTGATGATATTCTTTTATAACCAATTAAACTAAAAGATGATATATAAATATCTACTAATGATTATTTTATACTTCAGCAATGTCCATATAAGTATATAAACTTAACAGTTTCATTTTTTTTTTAGGAAAGCAAAGAAAGACAGGAGAGAATTGAACGAAAACAGAAGAAATGTCATTCTTTTCTTGAAAATGAGGCACTTCCTCCATGGAGGTCTTCAAGTAGAACTGTATTCTCAAAAGTGTTTTATTCTAATTCTTATCATATTTAGTTTTTATTTATCAAATGGCCAATCTTAGTCATAGGTTTAAAACTATTTGAGTATTTGTAGCTACAACAATCTATTTTAATTCATTTCTGGACAATTTTGCTGATCATGAAAAAGATATGTTAGAGCTTTATTAGTGAAAGCACTTTTTGAGGTATAGATAAATGAGCTGCCTCAAATGAAAAGCCAATAAATAGCCAGATTGCTCTTATATAACCCTTTATCATGTCCTGATAATTCTTAGAGTTGGATAATACATGATCATTTTCATTATGCTATTCATGATATTTAACTGTTTAATTCCAAGAATAAAAAGGAAATTATTATGGTGCCATAATCATAGAAATAATTAAAATTTGTAGATGATTGTACATCTAGATGGATTCAGGTTTTAAATGATTAGTCACTGGAGAGTGTTGTTGCTAGGTGCTGTCGAGTCGGCTCTGTGTAGAACAGAACGAAACACTGCCTGGTGCTGTGCCAGCCTCACAATTCTTGCTATGCCTATGCATACATTATTTCTTTTAAAACACATCTTTAACTCAAAGCAGTTGCATTTTCACTATGTTAGCATTTTGATTTATTGAGACAGTAGTTTACTAGAACTTTAACCATAGGGGCATTTTATTTAAGAATGTTTGCCTTACTTTTAAAACGAATGTTCTTTACTGTTACTGGTTTAAGTGACAATCATTGGCTCTTTATGATGAACCCATCTCAGAAATTTATCTTTCTGAATTCTTTGTCACTCTATTTTTTATCATCTTAGTGTTACCAAATAATATCATCTCATGGTTGTTATATACTTACACATTTGTTAGTGTAATTCTACAAGAGTTCAAGGTTGCTATTACTAGTATTATTTTCCAAAATAAAGCCAAAAAGATGATAAAAGCAATTATTGTCCCCTTAACTTATCCAGAGTCTTATATTTAGATGACAGCTGAATGAAAAGTAAATTCACAGGAAATGTCCAAAGAACCTTTATTTATTTACCCCATTTCTTCAGGATCCTGTATTAATTGGTTTCATACTTGACCTTGTCAGCTAATTTAAGGCAAATCAACTATATGCTCTCAGAGTTGAAATGCTGCTTTAGCTAATAATGCAATGCAGAGATGCTGGGTGAGAATTAACAGTGACTGTTTGTTAAGCACTCCTTATGTCCTCTCTGATGGAGCTTGACAAGTGTAATTTCATCTTTACAGCAGTCAATCAGGGTAATAGTTATTATTATTAGCTTCATTTTACAGATAAAAGTACCTAGGCTCAGAGAAATCAAATAACTTGCCAAAGTGAGTTGGGATTAGAACTGATTAAGTCTATCTACCTCTAGCATCACTATGCACATTTTCATATTCCATGTGGCCTTAGAGAACTGTAAGTTCTGTCAAGGCCTCTGTATTATATATGGACTTCAGAAAACCATTTTTACTCATGGACCCTAGAATCATGTATTATCCAGAAATAGTTTTTGCCTGAAGATAACAGCTGCTTGTTATTAGAGAAGATGGACCTCATTAAATATATATAATGAAATAAGAATTCATTAGATTTATGAATCTTGTATACCATATTAGAGAACTTAACAGGTTATGTAACATGGCTTCTGAGATAGCCATTCAGTAGGTTTCAAACACTGAGGATTACCTTCCTGCTGCAGTGCAAGTGAAGATAAGTTGTAATGAATCACTTTATAAGAACATATCAATGCAATAGATTAAATATAACAATAACTTCATAGATAAAACTAGAAACCTTTTTTTTTTTCAACTGTCAAACCTAGGAGAATACTTCATAAAATTGAAATTATTATCAGCAGTATGTATTATCTGCATGAAATTTGGTCAGTCAGTCTCACTCATCTGTGTATATTCCATAGTACCAAACACAATGCCTCCTGAACTGACTGTTAAGTGTTTGCTGTATTGTATTAGTTATTCAGAGCTAAAAGATATTTTAAAATTCTAGGAAAGTAATAATAAAAATAGAAACAAGCACATAACACAGCAGTGTTGGAGGATGGGGGATCAAAAACATATGTCATAGATTTCACATCAAATATTTGCTTAAACTTTCTGATCATTTTCTTCTCCTTCATCATAGTGAGTTACTATCTTTTATAAGTTGATATAAAAATTGTTAGTTAATGTAAAGCATATAACATAGTAATGAACACTTAGTAAGTGTTTATTGTTATTTATTTACTATCATGAACCCCACTTTTCCTCACTTCATATATATGAGAAGTAGGGTAACACAGAGTTGATAATGGTTATCTCACATTACACATTTTTAGCATACAAGAAGAAATCTTTGCCTTCTTGACTGTTCTAAGCTCTACTATTCAGAGAGAATATAGAGATGTTCTCTATTAGGGACCTCCTAAAAGGAAAATAGAAAACTAATTTTTAAGGTTGTTTGAAAGGTAGGACGGATGGGAAATTGAGATGTTTCCAATAGCCCAGTATGCCATTTCCCTCATATATGAGTGGGGATTTTTATGTTATTACACTAAGTAATATATTATTTATCATCAGCAACAACTTGTGCTGAAATTGTCTAGTTGAATGAAATAACCTCTTCTGTAGCAGAAATAAAGATGAATTTTGGAAGCTTAGTGAAATAAAGCCTGGTAATACTTTCTTGACTGTATTTATCGATCGATATAAGGGGTATAATTTCCCCATATATCCTCAAAGTATCAGTTGTAAATATAGATATTTATTCATTAAATTTTCATTAGTTTATTATATGAGGCAATGTTTAATTTATATTAAGGACAGTAAAAGCTTATAAAGGAGCTTTGGTGGCACAGTACCTAAGGCATTTAGCTGCTAACCAGAAGGTTGGTGGTTCAAGCACACCAGCCACTCCACTGAAGGAAGATGGGGCATTCCACTTCCATAATCATTTACTGCCTCAGAAACCCAATGGGGGTCACTGTGAGTTGGAGTCGACTTAATGGAAGTTTGAAAACCTTATAAACTTTCAAGTTCAGCATCCAGTTTTATAAATTGTGTTCATTCCTTAAAGAATGCTTAGAATGCAAACTAAAGAAAATGGGAGATTTTATGAATATTTTAAAACTTTACTGAAAACAGTTTCATTAGAAAGCATAATTATAGATACATTTGAATATTCTAAAAATATATAGTAAAACTGTTATACAGAACTTAAGTCTCATAATTAAAAATTATAATGTACAAATTTAAAAAACTGGCATTTTAAATAGGAAAGAGATTAAGTCTTTCTTAATGAAAGAAAATAAGAATTATTCATGGGATAACAATAACGTTGTAGTTGTTTATGTTTCCATCAGACTTTGAAAATGTTTTGTTGTTGTTGTTGTTGTTATGGGCCGTCGAGTCGGCCCCGACTCATAGCGACCCCTCCTTGGGTTTCCGAGGCAGTATCACTACGGAAGTAGGATTGCCCAACCTTCCTTCCGAGGAGTGGCTGGTGGGTTTGAACCGCCAGCCTTCTGGTTAGCAGTCAAGTGCTTTAGCCACTATGCTACCAGAGTTCATTTATTTTTTCAAATTCTTTGAAATTGATATTGATATTTTTTATGATTGCCAAAGCAGGACCTGATAAGTTAAGGGCCCACAATTCTATGTTCCTTAGAGTAACAAAATCACAGATTTGAAAGGGGTTTTAAAAATTACCTAGTCTAAACTCTATTTCTAAATTGAAGAAAGTGATATACAAAAAGACTTTACAACTAACTCTAAGAAACTAACTATAAGAAATCTGGAATCAGAACTCAGGGATCCTGTTTCCCAGTAATATTCTGCCCACCATTCCTCATTTTCAGTAATCTGATAAAGCTTTCAGAGTAACTGTTGTTATTATTTTGTTATTGTAATTTAGGTTTTTGTCTTTTCATCTGTGCCCTTACTCCTCCACTTCCTTCTCTATAACTATCCAACAGATCAAAGGTATTCAGGGACCTATACTACCATTTAAAGTAATTTCTTAAATCTTGAATCATAGGTAGGATACAATTGAGAAAATAAATTTCATAAAATGGAAGATACTGCATATTAGTCAAAGTGGTTTGCAAGAATAAACTGGTATAGGAAATTTCCATGTCCCTGATTTAATCTTGGCTCTTATTTCCGTAGTGCTCTATCAAACGGCATTAAACTTACACGCTTGCGTTCTACACAAAGTGAAGATATTTACCTATCAACTTTCCTGCTTCCTAGTTATTTTGGCAGATAAAATAAGAAATGCCATGTAAATTCTAAACTGGAGATTTCTGAGTCTTTTTACATTGAATTTCATGTGCTTCTATTTTTCTGACGTATGTATATTACATGTAATTGTATAATATTAACGTGGGTGAACAGAATTCTTAGTATTGAATTTAGGATGCTGTTTAAGAATTATTTGGGAAGATGTATTTAATGTCTGTTTTTGTACTAGCATGTTTTCATGAGATGCTTAATTTATTAAAATCACCCATTCAAAAGTAATATGTTTATTGACTGTGTCAAAATTTCATTTCATAGTGTTAGGGAATATTGCAGTGTAAGTTTTATTTCTAGACTAAAGATAAAACATCATACATTGATACAGCCTTTCATTAGAAATGACTGAAATTTTGGATGTACAGCTAATTTTTTTTTACTTAAAAAAGAGCTTAACAAAGATAATATAATTATATAATTGATAAACAATTAGAAAATACAAATAAGCAGAAGTCACCCATGATCCCTTGACCCAAGACACATTTAAGGAATGGCAGTGATGCAATGGTTAAAGCACTCAGCTGCTAACTAAAAGGTTGGCAGTTCAAACCCACCAGCAACTCTGCTGGAGAAAGATGAGGCAGTCTGCTTCCATAAAGACTATATATAGCCTTAAAAACCCTATGGGGTAGTTCTTTTCTGTACCCTACAGGGTCACTATGAATTAGAATCTACTCAATGGCAACAAGTTTATTTTTTCAATACACCCTTCTGGTTTTTATTTTCCAATGCATTTTTCTTGGCAGC